GCGACCGAGTATTTAGACGCAAAGGCAACTTGAATAAGCTAAAAAGAACGTAAGGCATAATATAAAAACAGAAGAGGCACAAAAGTTGGTCAACTCAACGACAAATCGTCTAGCCGAGGCCATCAGGGCATAAGGAGGCCTTACTCAATACTAATTTCTTTGGAATTTTATCTATTTGACATAACTTTTAAACTATACGAAAATTTTTTTTGCAGTAAACTTTATCCATCATTAGATCTTTTTTGTAAAATTCTATAGGTTTGAAAAGCAATAAGTTGCCTTATACACAAAGAAATTCTTAAAACAATATCTGATAAGATATCTGAAAAAAACTTTTAAATTGTTTAACAATTTTTTTAAGCTATTTTTTAAACTATAATTTGTTTTTTCAAGTGTACGATATTTTTGTTGCGTACTGTGTCTGATAAACAGATAACTTCTATAGATATATTGAAAGTGGAATCTAAACGGTTCTTCTTATTTATGAATTACACTATGCTTGATTTTAAATGATTCATTTAGATTAAGTTAAACTCAAATATAAAAATAAAAATAAATAAATAAAAAAGTTTATTGTCAAAATTCATATAACAAATACTCTTAGTGATATTACCTTTTTCTCATGAATACCTTAAAATGAAGATTTTTTTTAAAGGCAATAATATTGGAACAATTATTTTTTATTTCTCTCAAAATATTGTGTGATGATTTCTTAATTGCTTTATGTTAAATTTATCAAAATAGATTGTACAAATGACATTCAGATTTTAGCTGTACTTTAAAATATTTGTTTTTGTTCTATAAAATGCAGGTCAGAATTTATAAAGAATTTAAATGTTAAGCCATAAATTATGTAAAAGGTTTTTCATCTTGATTTTACAGTTAATGTATATTTAAGTAAAACCAAAGATCAATCACAGAATAAAACCCGAAACAAAATACAAGCTGCTTCATATAGTAACAAAATAAAATTGAATAAAAGCATAATAGCAAATGCTGGGGATTGTTTCAAAAAAAACTGCCTAGTCTTTAAATTGTATTTAATAAAAACTTAAAAAATATTATTTATACTAAAAACTGAATTACTTAATGCATTAAAAAAGAGACTCCCAGATAAAATCACGTTTTATCTGTAAAACATTTATTGCTTTAGTGTAACTTAAAAAAGACAGGAGAGTTTCTATAAACTTTGTTTTAAATGGTTTTAAAGCAATGAGTGAAAAACATTAAAATAAGCTAACCGACGAATTTAAAATAACAAAGTTAACAAAAAGCAGTGAAAAAATAAAGCTTCAGAAGGAGTGTAGTGTGGTATAATAGATGCTGAACGCATGTTTTTACTCATAACTAAATCATCAATAGGGTTTAAACCATGTTTTTAAGTTGAAGTTGAAGTCATTCTACTATCGATCATTGCTATATGTATTTTTAAAAACTTAACTCTTGTTTTAAACGTCAATTTTATGTTTTAAGCAAAAAGATGGTAGTCAAACAAAAAAATAAATAAATGCAGAATATAATTAGTTATCCATATATACATGACATAGAATGGACTTATTGCTTTAAATTATAATGTCGTATGTCTTGATTACATTTTTGTTAAAAACTTTATTCTTGTTTTGTTAAAAACTTAATTATAAACTTTATTCCAACTAATTTAAACTTACCAGAAATCAAAGTTCAAATATCAATATTTAAGGTAGGCATACATTTTAAGGTTCAAATGTCTATGAGATTTTTTTGAAATGGTACAGACATTTTAGTAAACGTGGTTAAAGATATGTTGCTACAAATCTCACTAATGGTTTGAGATATATACAACGTATTATTCCAAAAACAGTATTTTTCATTCCTAATATTTCTTTTTTAAATCAAAGTTAAATAGAATTTATGAAATAATACCTGATATCAATAAACAAGTTATTTCTGTAATTATGGTTGCTTCCAAAGTTAAAACAGCCTTTTTAACCTGCTCAGAGCATAATTGCATTGGGTAAAGGTTGCTCCAAGTCTTATAATTAAATTTAACGATGAAATATCTAGTTTAATAGATTTAGCAACAGAAGTTAAATCCAATGATATAATTTTTCATAATTGTGCAAAAGAAACAAAACCAATGAAATTTCTTTGTTTTTATCCTCAAACAATAAATGAAACAAGTCATGCATTAATAATATTTTAAAAAGACATCCAAACTTTGAAGAGGTACCTTATCAACCAGATGGCGTATTATTATAGAGCAAATGTATATTAAAAGTTTCAAAATCATTTATAAATGTGAAACAAAGGTAATCGTTTTTATAGATAATAATAAAATTGCAAAGCCAATAAGAAGCAAGTTAAAAACAATCGAATCATATCTGAATATTTCCGTTTTCAATATTTGCAAATACAAGTTTGAATATATTGAAAGATAAATTTAAAATTAATTAAACAAATAAATAAATAAAAAATTAATAAGATCAAAATTAGCAACTAAATGAAACTCATTTTTTATATTACCCAATTTTCCTAATGTTCCAACAAAATGATTTGGGGACAGAGTTGGTCCATCACTTGATGGACAAAAAGGAGAGCTTATTCTAATGTAGACTTTAGCCTAGTGTGAAGTTTTTGTCCAAGTTTTTTCTCTAACTCAAAAGCCATTCCTACTTTATGACATGTGTTTGTTGATGTATTGCAATCTACTTCAAGAACTTCATCGAGGCTCTGAGCTTGTTTTTTTACTTCTGTTACCGCAAAAAAAGGTAAAAGTTTGAGAGTAAGTTATGTCATGTCAATTTTTTTTTCTACAAATCTCTTCTTTACAACTTTACCATCGTTTATTTTTGTTTCTTTTGCAACTAAAGTTTTATTACCAATTTTACCATCAACACCAAAGCAAACAAGTTATTTTTGAAAGAACTTAAGTCCCATTAAACTTGAATCTTATTCTTTTGACTGTTTATTCTGGATTTGTCTATAATTAAAGTTGATTGCTGGATCTCCAAAAAACTTATCAAGCGTAACATCATTTCTTCCAACTCCAATTGAATTTCTCATATCATATCTGAGCCAAGAAATAGCTAACTTTGGAAGGTTTCAAAGATTGTAAACTCTTGATAATTTTCTTAAAGGCTCTATATCTATAAGAAAAATTATAAATTTATAGTAGAAAAAAATTGTTTAGGAAATAAATGTTAAACTTTGCTCATAAATTAATTTTTAGGATTATAAATTGACCTGTTTCTGTCTGAAATCAAAAAGTTATAAGGCTATTTTAAAAACTTTATAGAATATTTCAATTAAATTTGCTATGGATCTACATTAAAACAATAACAGTTTCATGAGACGAGTTAACAGTTAGTGAGATCCCAACTGCATTTCAGCTGACGCGCAGTGGGTCTATGCGCGAGATTAAGCCAAATAAATTCACGTTTTTAATCTAATAAAGAAATTATTTTTGTGTCAATAGGGTACGTTGCGGTTATATTACCTTCAACGTTTGCCAGCTGGTGTAATTTAAAAAAAATAGGAATAATTTAAGATTCGATGAAAAACTTAAAAAAAAGAATAAAAGAAAAATAAAGCTTTCGAAATTATATACTTAAACAAAAAATTTACATCTTGTAGATTTTCTTGTCGAAAAGAAAATAATTTTAACATAAGTGTAAATAATAAGTATAGTTATCATAAAAAAGAATTTGTAAACTATTTATCAGTTCTGAAATAAATACAAAATGCAGCATTGTTGATTTTAATACTGGAAATAGCCATGATTTTATGGTTAATTTTTTTTTATAACTTATATGAACATGAAAAATATAATTTTATCGCTTTAATGAAACCCATTTTTTTTTTATATATCTCTCTCGGAATAGCAAATTATCAACTTTCATATTTCAGCTCAAGGATTGTAAAGGTTAAAACTAAGTCTTAATAGTTATTTGTAAAAATAACTATTAAGACTTAGTTTATAAATATGCATAGCATATATCAAGTTTTATATCAGTGTTGGATTAGTCATGTGGCTTTATTTCAGAAGTGTGGAATTATGGAGTTTATTATCTTTCAAGATTGTTTTATTATCTGTAAAATATCTTGCTTTTATAGAAGCAAGCAACTATTAATATTGCACTATTTTTAAGTGTGTGAAAAGTTTCCAAAAGAAGAGGCCATGCAATTAAAAAAATTTGTATAAAGCACAAGTTTATTTTAGACTATTCAGTAGTCATATTTATTTAGATACAAAAATAAAAAATTCAATTGAAATTGAAATTAGATTGTTTGATGGAGAAATGCTTTATTTATTGGCAGTAATAAAACAAAACAACTGATAAAACAAATAATATAACAACTAGTATATCAGTATATATGTACAAGTACTAATACAAAAAAAAGTAAATTTAAAAAGATTAAAAACCATTTCTAACAAATTTTTCAGAGTTGAAATTTAAACTATCTTAAAAATTAAGGAATAAAACTTATTCATAAACATTTTTGTAAATATGTACGTATTTCATTTAATCGCAAATTTAAATATATATATATATATATACTTAATAACAAAATATATTTTTAATATATATATTTTTTAAATATCATTTTAACAGTCAATCTTTAGAGAGCAGGCTAATATTTTTCTGCCCTTGTCAAAATCTTTTTGTTTAAGCATTTACTCTTAGGTGCTAAAACCAAGGATGGGTAATTAGTTAACTTTTGAAAAATATTCTCACCCTGAGCGTATTAAAATTCATTAAATTCATTCGTTTTCTAAATTTTACTTTTTCCAAAAAGAAAACTATAGTAGCAGCCGCTAAAACTGTATCACATGTTGAAAAGTTATCGGTTGGCCAATTATAGCGCATGTTGCTAATGGCCCACTTAGTAACCAATGACCATAACTACAATATACCGCCTAAAATACCTATATAGGTCCACAGCAAATCCACTAAAAAATGTTTATTACTTAGTAACATCTTCTGATATAACTTCTATTTAATATGATATAACTATTTTAGTAAACTCTCTGAAAAAAATGACTTATGATGACGAACAAACCTCATTAAATGCATCGTTTAGTTTATCAGAAGATAACGAACAATTTACAACATTATTTATAGCTGTTGTGATTGCTTCAATCGCATCTGTATGTGTTGGTTTCAGCATTGGTTACACCTCACCTTACAATACAGAATACACAAAACTTAGCAATGAAATTTTGTTTGCAGTAAGAATTATTATTTATATTTTTATAAACAAATTTTATTTCATATCTTTCAGTATATTTTATTTAGGAATTTAAGCGAATTAAATCACTTTTTAATGCGATTGTTTTTCTAGTTTTTAAAATTTTAAGTTTTGAGTTAATGATAATTTTATATAAAGATTTTTTTTTAACCCAACTTTTTCTATAGATAGACATGAGATAAAAACCATTGAAAAGGAATTAACCACGTCTTTTTTTATATTTTTACCTTTTTTTCTAAAAAATGTTAAAAAAAGAGAGTTTTAAGCTTTCTGTAGCAGTATCTCTTTAGAATACTTTGATAAAATCTTTTTACTAATTTGTTATCGAATTTAAAACAATAAAAGCTTTTCTTTATTAAAAAAATAACTTAACCTTAAACGAGGGTACACTGTACGAGTTATTTTATTCTATTTTACAAACAACTTATGTCTCAAAAAAAATAATTTTTTTAAATATAGAGGTAAATTGCAAAAGAACGACACGAAAAACGCCAAAAGTCAGACAAATAGGGTAGAATACAAAAGGCAAACTTGAGTGAAATTCGACTTAAACTTTGAAGTATGAATTTGTCAAGTAAGACTTCAAAAAAATACTTGAGCAAATGCGTAAACGAAACTTGAAAATTTTAAGATTGAGAAAGTCAAACTTGAAACACTTAAAAGGCGTTGATTTGAAGGCGCAATCGCAAAAAAAAAATTTACAATTAATAGCGGCAGATTATTAAAAAGGAAAAACCTCTCAAATAAAGCAAAATAACTATATATTTTTAAATAATTTTTCTCAGCTTTATACTTTAAATTATTATCCTACAAATATAAATTAAAAAGCGTTACAAAAATGATAAGTTTGGTTTTTATATTTTTATTAAAATTTGGTAATTTATTAAAAAATACTGGATTATAATGAACATGCTCGTGCTACCTTCTATTTAGTCTTAGCCTCTGACTGCGACGTAACAGTTGATTAATATTCAAATGGCAAATAAGCTATGCGGTTATTAGTGAAGGATATATGTCGAACACAAGGTTTTCATTATTCAATTTTCTTGTTAAAATTTTTATTAAAAAAAAAAAAAAAAACTCTTACAAGGCTGCAAGCAAACACAAAGCACGTTTGGAGTTAACAAAAATTATTCAAAAAATATGATAACAGTTTTCAATACCAGGAAGAATATAATATTTATAGAGATAAAAAACAAATTCAGTAGAAGAAAATGGTTAATATAAATTAGATTTTATCTAACTTAAGACAGCACCTGTTTTTGTTACAACTACAACAAGTCAGCAATAGATCGATTCGTGTCCGCTAACCTGCGGACACGAAGCAAGCTCTAAACAATTATGTAATTACACTTATGTGAAATAAGAATGTCTTGAAAAAAATTGATCCTCAATTTGAAATGACTTGCACTATTGAAGTAAAAGAAAGAGTGTAGTCATTTGGTCAATATATATATTAGAAAAAAAGTATTTTGCATTTATTAAGTTTATTATATATACAATTAATTTCGCCTAAATAAATCTATTTATTTTTTGAATAAGAGTAAATATAAAGAAAAGAAAACTGGTGAAAATGGCCTGAATAAACTGTTATATCCTTACAAGTGACAACGTTTTGTAAATGTTGTCACAAAACCATTCAATTCTATTTTAAAATTTTATGGGCAATATGCAATATCGGAATTTAAATTATTCAAGTTTCAAAAAACTTAAATATTGATATAACATTTTTAGGATACATTTACTAAGATAAAACAAACTAAACTTTTTTTCTTGCTTATTACATATAGTATTTTACCAATAATATTATATATATATATATATATATACATATATATATATATATATATATATATATATATATATATATATATATATATATATATACTATATATATATATATATATATATATATATATATATATATATATATATATATATATATATATATATTCAAAATTATTAAATATATATATATATATATATATATATATATATATATATATATATATATATATTTATGTATATATATATATATATATATATATATATATATATATATATATATATATATAATATATTCAAAATTATTAAATAACAAATAACCAAATGAGTTACAGAAGTTTATACTTGAAGTTAGGTCTTATGATATTATCAGAAAACTTGTGGTACCAGAAAACCCAAAAAAATAACAAAATTATAATGAAAATAAAATTAAAATTTTCAGAAAAATATTTACAAGTTACATATTAATACACCAATTTTAATAAACACAATTATAAAGATTATTTTATTAGAGCGTTTCTTTGTTTTTGAATGATATTTTTATTTCCAAGAACATACTTTTATTTTCAGATTGAGTTCTTCATTTCCTTTATCAATAAAAAAGGTTGTCTTTGTTTATACTGTTTGATTATTATTGTCTTTATTTATGATTATGAATATAATTGTTTAATTTATTATATTTATGTATAATAATGATTATGATTATGATTATTCTTATTCTTTGATAAGTTAAGTGTTTATAAAAAGAATCAAGTCACTATTTTAATTTCTTCTATAAAACTTCTCGTTGATGATTTGGAAACATTTTCTTCGTTAAATTTTACATTTAGTCGTTTACCTAAAGATCATTTTGTTAAAAGACAATGTTGTGAGTAAAACATGATACAATGCCAATAAATTTTTTCACTTTTATTTGTAAAGCGTGTTGCAAAAAAACGACTAACCAACATTCCACGGTCAGATAAATGCTGACAGCATGGGGTGTTGTCCCCTGAATACAAGCAGACAATATTTCTTTTAAAGAACCTTTATTTATTTGGCAGTTCAAAGAGAAATATTTGTTTCTGTTTTGATACAGTTCTGCATTTTTTCCTTCAAGACTTGTTATAGGATGTGCTTCATCTATTGCTCCAATATATCCTGGAAAGAGTTAAAGTTCGTAAAATCTAAAAAATTTAAAAATACTTTTTATATATAAATGAAACTTCAAATTCATAAAAAGGAGCAATAGCTGATATTTATCATCTATAGTACTATACAAAAGCATCCACAAATAAATAAGTATATATATATATATATATATATATATATATATATATATATATATATATATATATATATATATATATATATATATATATATATTTATAAATATATATATATATATAAAAAAAGATTATATTTATTTTTATATTACAAGATTAAAAAAAGTTAAATCAAGTATAAAGTATATAAGTAAAAAAAGATTATATTTATTTTTATATTACAAGATTAAAAAAAGTTAAATCAAGTTAAACCTTAACAGCAAGAAAGAAGTCATTTTTGATCAAATGAAAAGAAAGGTAACAATTGAAAACAATTAAATTAAATAACTGGTTTAGATGGCACAAAAACTATTATTAGGTTAATTAAGAGAAAATTTATTAAAAATAATTTCTATTTGTTTTATTTTATTGCTAAATTAGAAAATGATAGAAAGAAATTGTCAATGTCAGGAAGCGAAGGTTAGTGTTTGCCTGAACAATGACCGCTAATAATATAGCTAATCCCAAACAAAAGGATGGGGTTATATCTAACCCGTCCTGTTAAGGACACCATTGATGTCCAAGGGGTTTGCATGCATATTTGTTAGCTATTATAGGAAGAGCTGTGATAATGAAAAATAATTTTTTAATATAAAGTAGTTGTGTTAGAACAAGCAGCATAAACACTAATCATTGAAATAAGGTTGTCTATTTTTTTATAGAAACTCTTTTAATAATATTATCAATACAAGGAACAGTTTTTAATGGATATACATTAATACAAAACCATTTAGTCAATTATCTGACATCAGGCCTTGCGATAAAGCGTCAGGCGATGTGAATTTTACGTCGTCTAAGAGCGATTTTGCGTGTAGCTAGGGCTATTTGCGTCGAGCAAAAAAATTTTTTGTTTGAGTATATTTAAAGATATTTTTGAGCGGAATTTTAATGAAGTAATTTACGATTACTTTAACATTTAATAAAGTATTTTAAAAACCGCACGCAGTTATTATAAAAGTTTGAATTACAAAAAAATTAAATATGCTCATTATTTACAAGTAAAAAAAATTCAGATAATAGAAGTTTTTTTAACTTTTTTTTTTTAATTTTAAAATCTTTTTAAATCTTTTTTTTTAAATCTTTTTAAGCTAACACTTTAATAAAATTATTCAGCAAAAGCAAAGTTGTCGATAAAATTGAACAAAAGTAGTTTTTTTTTAGTTTTAGGTTTTTAACTTAATTATTTTATGGGGGTTTGTTAGGTTTTAAAACTATTCCATAGATTTAAAAATATTTATTAACTGTTAGACGTATTTAAAGTATTTAAGAGTAATTTCGAGGAAACATTTTAAAAATTGGTAAACGAAAATAAAAAAAAATAAAAGGATTAATATTAAAACGTATTCTACTTGATTCAATAAAAAAGTACAGCTATTAAAGTTTTTGTAAAAAGTAACTCGAAAAAAGTTACTTAAATAATAACAATCGCTTTGTTAAAAATTAAATCGCTTTGTTAAAAGTTACAGAAACTCAACGAAGCGTGCTCAAGAACAGATGCGGAAAAATAGTACGGCAATAGTTTTTCAAAGAATTTTAATAATAGTTTTTAAGAATAATTTTTTCGCTGTAATATTTCTTTTATACCTATAAGATTTTTATTCTAACATTTTATTTTATTTTACCAAAAATTTATCAAAATAAATTCCTTGTAAACATTAAAAAACTATTCAAAACGCTCGTTAAAGTTTTTTTAGTAATATGAGTGATGATTGTTTATTATCAACCGCTTTATGAAAATGTATAAAAACAAATTAATAAAAAAATACTATATAAAATCGCTAGTAAAGATATTAGCTATTGCAGAGATTTTAATCGTACAATATTAAATTTTCCAGTTTATTACTCGCAGACTTTTTAAAAAGAAAAAACAAAACGTGTCAAACGTCGAGAA